ATTTATTTATTTGACAGACAGAGATTACAAGTAGGCAGAGAGGCAGGCAGAGAGAGAGAGGAAGGGAAGCAGGCTCCCTGCCGAGCAGAGAGCCTGATGTGGGGCTTGATCCCAGGACCCTGGGATCATGACCTGAGCCGAAGGCAGAGGTTTAACCCACTGAGCCACCCAGGTGCCCCTACTTTTTTTTTTAAGATGTTATTTGTTTATTTGACAGAGAGAGAGAGACAGTGAGAGAGGGAACAAGCAAGGGGAGTGGAAGAGGGAGAAGCAGGCTTCCCGCACAGCAGGGTGTCTGATGCGGGTCTCAATCCCAGGACCCTAGGATCATGACCTGAGCCAAAGGCAGACGCTTAACGACTGAGCCACCCAGGCGCCCTGCACACTGGTTTTTAAAAAATATTTTCTCCTCAGCTTCACTTTTCCTTCAAGTTTAGGATATAGTTGTTCCTAATGCTTTTAAAATTTTATTTTAAATTATATTTAATTTAATATTTTAATTATATTTACTTAATATATTATATATTATAATAGATATATAACATATAATATATATAACAATTATATTTAATTTAATATTTTAATTATATTTGATTAATGTATTATATATTAAATTATAATATAATAACTGTACATATCCATCACCTGCTTCCATAGTCACCAACACTCTGATATTGTTATTCCATATACCTCCCCCCCTTTTATTCTCTGATCATTTTAAAACAAAATAAAAATTAAAACATCATAAATACTTCTCCCAGGGACGCCTGGATGGCTCAGAGGGCTGAGTGTCCAACTCTGGATTTTGGCTCAGGTCATGATCTCTGGGTCCTGGGATCCAGCCCTGAGTTGGGCTCTGCACTCAGTGGGGAGGCTGCTTGAGATTCTCCCTCCCTCTGCCCCTTCCCCGGCTCTCTCTCTCTCTCTCTCTCTCTCTCAAATAAATAAATAAATAAATAAGTCTTTTAAAAAAATGTCTCCTTAATTGTTAGTTTTCATCTGTACGAACAAGTCCTTTATAAAGAGTTATTTGTAAAGAAATATACAAGTTCTTTGTAAAGAAATATAATCATGATTATATTTGGCATAATTAACAGTAATTCATTAGTAATTTTCAATGCCAGTCTGTCTTTAGCTGCCTCCACTTGTTCTAAAGTGCCTTCTCACAGGTGGCTTGTTCCATTCGGAATCCAAAGAAGGTTATTATTGTTTTTTTTTTTTTAAATTGAAGATTAGTTGAGTACAATATTCTGTTAGTTTCAGGTATATATCATAGTGATTCAGTATTTTCATATGTTACAAAACGATCCCCACAATCAGTGTAGTTACCATACAAAGTTACTGCAGTATTATTGCCTGTGTTCCCTGTTACGTACATTACATCTCTGTGGCTTATTTATTTTATGACCGCAGATTTGTACCTCTTAATCCCCTTCACCTCTTTCACCCGCCCAGCCCCCAGCTGGCCCTCCCTCTGTAACCACATCTTTGTTTCCTGTATTGATGAGTCTCTCTTTGTTTTGGTTTGTTGTTTGCTAGATTTCACACAGAAGGGAAATCATACGGTATTTCTTTCTCTGTCTCATTTCAGTTAGCATCATACCCTTTGGCTCCATCCATGTTGTGGAAAATGGCAAGATTTCTTTCTTGTTTTGTGACTGAGTAATATTTTAGTGTGTGTGTGTGTGTGTGTGTGTCCCATCTTCATTTTCCACTAATCTACCAATCAACACCTAGATTGCTTCCATTTCCTGACTATTATAAACAACTCTGCAATGAACATAGGGGTGCATATATCTTTTCAAATTGGCATTTTCGTTTTCTTCAGATAAATACCCAGAAGTGGAATTGGTTATATACGGATTATATAGTATTTCTGTTTGTAACCGGTGGGGGGAACCTCCATGCTGTTTCCCCACAGTGGCTGCACCAGTTCGAATTCCTATTAACAGTGCACCCAGGCTCCCCTTTTTCCACATGCTCCACAGTACGTGTTGTATTTTGTCTTTTTGATACTAGCCAATGAAGTTATAACTTTTTTTTTTCATTTTTCAAAAGTTTCTTTATTTTAAAGTGAGAGAGGAGAGGGCAGTGGGAAGGGGTAGAGGGAAAGGGGGAGAGTCTCAAGCAGACTCTGCCCCGAACATGGAACCTGTGTGGGGCTTGATCCCACGATCCCCGAGATCACGAACTGAGCCAAAACCGAGAGTCAGACGCTCAACCAGCTGTGCCAACCATGCACCCCTGAAGTTATTACTTTTTTTTTGGAAGAGGGAAACAATTTTTTTAAAGATTTTATTCATCTGTTTCTCGGAGAGAGAGTCCACAAGCAGGGGGAGCAGCAGGCAGACAGAGGGAGAAGCAGATTCCCCGCTGAGCAGGGAGCCCAATGCCAGCTCCATCCCAGGACCCCGGGATCATGACCTGAGCCAAAGGCCAATGCTCAATCAACTGAGCCATCCACCTGCCCCTGAAGTTATTACTTTTAAAGTCTTTGTTGTACCTGTAGTTCTTTCCTCTTTTTTATTATGCATTTTTTCCTTTTTTTGTCTTTTCTCCTTGATGAGTCTTGCCAGAGGGCCTGCCAACTTTGGGTTTTTTAATCTTTTGTATTATTTTTTTGTGGTGGTTGTTCTCTTTTATTTTTGTGCTTCCCTTTATTAATCCCTTCCTTATTTGGGGGATTGGCTCTATTAGTTATCCCCCAACTTCTTGAGTTTAACATCTTACTTTTAAAGATAAATAAATTTCTGAGGCAGCTGGGGTGCTCAGTCGGTTGAACATCTGACTCTTGATTTCAGTTTGGCTCATGGTCTCAGGGTCATGAGATTGAACCCCACATCAGACTCTGTGCTCTGGGAGTAGTCAGGTTGAGATTCTTTCCCTCTCCCTCTGCCTATCCTCTTGCCTATACACTTTCTTTCTCTCTGTGAGATAAATCAATCTAAAAAAAAAAAGATAATAAATTTCCCTCTAATAACTGCATTAGCTGTGTTTTTTACCTGTTTTATTTTAACCTGTTGTATTTTTGTTATCCAGTTTTACTAATTTCTCTCTCTCTCTTTTTTAAGATTTTATTTAATTATTTGTGAGAGAGAGAGAGAGAGAATGAGAGGGGAGTGGGTCAGAGGGAGAATCAGACTCCCCGCTGAGCAGGGAGCCCAGTGCGCAGGCTCGATCCTGGGACTCTGGATCATGACCTGAGCTGAAGGCAGTCACCTAACCAACTGAGCCACCGAAGCGCCCAGTTTTACTAATTTTTTAATTTCTTTTTCTTTCACTTGGCACAATTTTATTTATTTTTTTTCTTCCAAATTTGTATTTAAATTTTGGTTAGTTGACATATAGCATAATACTGGTTTCATGAATAGAATTTAGTGATTCATTACTTACCTACAGCACCCAGGGCTCATCATAAAAAGTGCCCTCCTTGGGGTGCCTGGGTGGCTCAATCGTTAAACATCTGCCTTTGACTCAGGTCATAATCCTGGGATTCTGGGATCAAGCCCCCTATCGGGCTCCCTACTCAGCACAAAGCCTGCTTCTCCCTCTCCCATTCCCCCTGCTTGTGTTCCTTCTCTCGCTGTCTCTCTCTCTGCCAAGTAAATAAATAAATAAATTTTTAAAAAAGTGCCCTCCTTAATGCCCATCACCCATCTAGCCCATCCCCCACCCCCTTCCCTCCGTTAACCCTCAGTTTGTTCTCTGTAGTTAAGAGTCTTTTATGGTTTGCCTCCCCCTCTCTCCTTCTCTCTTGCTTTTCCCTTCCCACACATTCTTCTGTTTTGTTTCCTAAAATCCACATATGACTGAAATCATGTGATATTTGTCTTTCTCTGACTGACTTATTTCACTTAGCATAATACATTAGCTCCATCCACTTCATTGCAAATGGTAAGATTTCATTCTTTTTGATGGCTGAGTAATATTCTGTTGTATAGATATACTACATCTTTTTTTTCTTCTTCTTTTTTTTTTTTTTTAAGATTCTATTTATTTATTTGACACAGAGAGAGAGATCACAAGTAGGCAGAGAGGCAGGCAGAGAAAGAGGGGGAAGCAGGCTCCCTGCTGAGCAGAGAGCCTGATGTGGGGCTTGATCCCAGGACCCTGAGATCATGACCTGAGCCCAAAGCAGATGCTTAACCCACTGAGCCACCCAGGCGCCCCTACATCTTTTTTTCTTAAAATTTTATTTTTGTATATTTTTGTTTGAGAACGAGAGAGAGAGAGAGTGTGTGTGTGCCCACATGCACAAGTGTGGGGGAGGGGCAAAGGGAGAGAGAGAAGCAGGCTCCCTGCTGAGCAGGAAGCGCTACTCAGGGCTCCATCCCAGGACCCTGAGATCATGACCTGAGCTAAAAGCAGACACTTAACCAACGGCACCCCCCTGGTGCCCCGATATACCACATTGTTTTTATCCATTCATCAGTCAGTGGACACTTGGGCTTTTTCCACAATTTGGCTATTGTTGACAATGCTGCTGTAAACATCGGGGTGCATGTGCCCCTTTGAATCTGTATTTTTGTATTACATATTTCTTAATTTACTTTATAATTTCTTATTAATGCACATTATTTTTGTTGCCTTTTTTTTTTGGTAGCGTGTTAGTTTCTCAAGGTGTGAGTTATGTTCAGTATTTCTTTTTTCATTTCGTTGCACAGTAGTCTTCCTTTGCTGATTTCTAACTTCATGGCACTGTGGTTGGAGAAGATAGCTTTGTGTGTTGCCCATCTTTTCAGATCGATGGAGCCTCTTTTTGTAGCCTTGTATGTAGTGTCTACTGGAGAATGTTCTGGGTACACCTGAGAGGAGTGTGTGGCCTTGTAGCCTGAGATCCTAGGGAGTGTGATAGTCCTCCTCAGGAGGCCGTGAGGAGTCTTCTGTGGCCTGTACAGGATTGGTTCTTGTGCATTTTGTGCGTTTGCTGAGGTAGTGTTTGTTCCAGGTGTGCTGGGTGGGGGCTTGGGTGTGTCAATCATGAAGCTTTCTCTTTTCAGTGTGTCTGCCGGTACCGAGCCCCTGGAGCAGCTGGGCTCGGCGCTGAGGTTCCGTTCCAGCTTGGACAGCGACCCCATGTCAGGGTAAGTAAAACCTGCAGGCGGGGTCCATCTTCCTGGTGGAGGTGACAAGGGTCTCAGTGGGCTAGAGTGAGGGCTTTGGGGACTGGGATGCCACAGAGGCATTGTAGTGCGGCCCCAGAGTAGCTGACCAACAGGTTCCTTGATTCTTAGGTTGGAAAGTCGAGTCCTCATCATTGTGGACTGGGGATGGGGGGCTGGGGTTGACAGTTGAAAGGCCAAGTGTAGGAGGTCCGTATTGACCTAGGTGATGGGGTGGGCACTGGTGACTGATGAGTAACGAGTGGTGGTGGTGGTGATGGAGGTGATGGTGGTGACGGTGATGGTGTGATGGTGACAGTGATGGTGTAATGGTGACAGTGACAGGGCAACGGTGACAGTAGTGGGGTGATGGTGGTGACAGTGACAGGGTGATGGTGATGGTGACAGAGATGGGGCAATGGTGACAGTGATGCGGTGATGGTGATAGTGACGGGGGAGATGGTGGTGACAGGGATGGGGAGATGGCGGTGACAGGGATGGTGTGACCGTGGTGATGGGGATGGGATGATGGTTGTGATGGGTGATGGTGATGATGGTGGCAGGGTGATGGTGGTGACCATGACAGGGCGATGATGGGGAGGTGGTAAAGACACTGGGATACTGATAAGCCTGGTTCCTGTGTCAGGGCCTGTGAGCCATGGTTGCTGTGTCAGGGCTCTTCTATCAGGGGCCAGGGAACAAGGCTGTCTCCCAAACCTCAGTTCCCTTGGCCAGGTTCCTGCTCTGTCTTGTTGCCACCGTGACGGGTGTTGTGACGCACCCTTCACGTGGGCGGAGCCAGCGTGCAGCCACGCGTGTATTTTCCTGGTGGGGTCTGTTCCACGTGCTGCCTGCCTCGGCCCTCGTGGGTCTAGAAGCCCCTCTCAGGAGATCTGCACAGGCCTGGCCGCCCCTTGGGAAGAGGACCCTTGGGGCTCCGGGCCCGCATGGGGGTCCAGGTATGCGCCTGCCCTTTCTGCCCTGCAGGCCTGGGTGGGTGCGGGGTCTCACTGGCCACAGTGGAATCAGGACAGGGCTCCCGGGAGCGGGGAGGGAAGAGGTACAGCCTGTGGGCCCTCCTCAGAGCCCAAGGCCTGGCCTTGGCCCTTTGGTCTGCGGGCGGGTCCTGCGCCCTTGGCTGATGGGAGAATGACACCCTGATGAGCCCCTCCCTCCGCACGCAGGGGGCGCCCTTCCTTGGCTGAGTCCCAGAACTGTGGGCTTTCTGACAGCCCCACAGGACCTCCTGCTGTCCAGCCAGCGTGGGCCTGGGGCAGCCCAGGAGTGCGCCTTGTCCTGAGGACAGTGGAGTGTTCTGGGCAGTGCTGGTCTAAGCGGTGTTTAGGAAGGAGACCATTCTGGCTGCTCCAGGGAGGATGAGGCTGGGAGGGGGTGACGGCCATGGCTTCCCAGTCCCAGGTATTGGGAGGCTGGAGGGAGACTGGGCTTGGCGCAGAGAGGTGAGTGCCTGGCCTCTGCCCTGGTGACGGGACGGGAGGTCCAGGCCTGTGAGAGGATGTGGGACCAGGAGGGGGGCCGGGGTAAGGGGCTCAGGTTGGGTGGCAGGAGTGTGCCGAGGACTGAATCTGAGGGTCAGCAGCATTTGAAGAAGGGCCTCGGGAGATGCTGAGAGGGAGGGTTTGGAGAAGCAGAAGGAAAGAGGAAGATGTGTGGGCTGTGGGCTGTTGAGGAATGTGGACTCCCTACCACAGAGGCCGTGGCACCCTTGGGAGGAGTCGTTCAGTGCAGCGGACTGAATAGTGAGCCGGAAACTTGTAGGGTGAAGTGAGTGTGGAGGCTTCAGGGAGCCATTGCGCTGCGAACTCTAGACAGGAGTTGGAGGAGGAGTCAGAGTGAGGAAGGGCTTCTTGGGTGCTGGTAGAGACTTGAGCTCAGAGAGGGGACAGAGGGGACACTGCAGAACCAGGTCCTCGAGGGGCATGGGAGGAGAGGCTGCCGGGGCTGATGGCCGCAGCGAGGTGACTGAGTGTGAGCACAGGAGCACCTGTTCCTGCCCGAGGTGTGCGCCCAGAATGGGGGCTGGTGGGAGGTGTGCACACGCCTGTGTGTGCTGGGGGTGCCTGCTGCCTCCCGCCCCGGCTGTCCTGCCCACTGGGGAGCGTGGGTGACGGCAGTCGTGCTGCCCCATCTCTCCCTCCCTGCCTTCTGGCCAGCGCCCCTGTGTCTTGGTCAGCACCTGCCTTATACAGGTTTAGGGCTTGGGAAGCAGCCAGAAGGGCAGGGTCACCAATGACACATCTGTGTTCTGCCCTGTTGGCCAAGGGCACTGTTTCTCTGCTGGAGTGTTGGCTCTGTGGTGGGGTTCAGCCCCTGCTGCCCAGGCCATGGCTGGAGCTCCAGTAAAGCTTCAGTCGGGGCAGAAAAACCCCCACATCTCCCTCTGTGGGTAACTCCTTGGGTTCTGCAAGAATGAGGCCTCAGGTCAGAGCACAGGGACCCAGAGGAGGTCTCCTCTGCCTGTCACAGCCTCCATGGGTGGTGTCTTCCCTTCACGTGGGCCCTTTGCTCCCTAGATGTGGCCGTGTTGCCTATGGGCCTGAGGTTGGCCCAGGTCTTCTGTAGCCTGCTCCCCAACTTGGGCGGGTGAGCCCCATCCTACCCTGTTGAACGGTCAGTGTCTGTGTCCACTCTTGGCTTGTACGCTCCCCAAGTGCATACAGGGGCCTCAGTCCCTGTCATGGTTCTTTTGGACCCTAATATCATTGTCCTTTCCGGTTCCTTGCTACTTCTGGGCAGGATCGACGTGTATTTCAGCATCTGAGTGGTAGAATGCACGGCTGCAGGCCCCAGGCAGGTGGCTGCTGGCCCTGACTGCTGTGAGTGATGGTGTGGGAGAAAGACATGCAGGTCTGTTAGGTGCGGTGGGGCCGTGGTACACCTGTCCCAGCTCTCCCAGGATCCTTTGTGCGGCTCTCACACCCACGGGGTCATGGCTGGTCCACCGCCTTGCCAGCATGATGGTGAAAGTGCTGTTGTCCCCGCTCCGGAGAGGGTTTTCCCCAGTCCCTACACGAGGAGTCTTCAGCCTTCTAGAACCACGCACTTCAGTCCTGCACACTCTCTGCTTGGGCTGATTCTGCTTTTTTTTTTTTTTTTTTTTTTTAGGTTTTTTTTTTTTTTTTTTTTTATAGAGAAAGAGATCACAAGTAGGCAGAGAGGCAGGCGGAGGGAGGCCCCACATCAGGCTCTCCGCTCAGCGGGAGCCTGCTGTGGGGCTTGATCCCAGGACCCTGAGATCATGACCTGAGCTGAAGGCAGAGGCTTAACCCACTGAGCCACCCAGGTGCCCTGATTCTGCTTTTTGAACTTGGCCTTTGGACTGTCTGATCTGGGAGGTAGCACCAATGTTGGGAAACCCATTCCTTCCTCTCAGAGGCATGGTTCCACTAGAACTGTGGCCTTGGGTACCATAGGCCCCTACCACACTCTGGAACCACCCCTCAAATATTACCCTTCCTCAGAGCATCATGCCTGGCCGCCCTACTAGGTGCTGCCCATGGGGTCTCTGTGTGAATTTTTTCATCCATCAAATCCCTGTTGAACACACACAGTGTGCTCAGTGCTGGAGATAGAGCAATGGCCCAAAGCAGGTGCAGTCTGTGCCTCTGTGAATCCACAGGCTAGAGGCAAGATGCACGTTAATCAAATGCTCACAGAGTATATGTTTGTAAACTGAGGGAGACAGGGATTTAGTTCCATCAGAGCATTTATCAAGGAGCCTGAACTTATCTGGATGGTCAGGGGAGATGTCCCCAAGGAAGTGGTATTTTGAGCTGAGTTCTGAAGGGTGAACAGGAATTAATTACATGGAGGACAGGCCAGGCAGGAGGAACTATATATGCAAAGGCCCTGAGGTCAGATTATAGCATGGTGCTTTGAAAAACTGGAAGGAAGGTGATGTGGCCAGAGCACAGAGAACACGGTGAGGTAGGAGGTCCAGACCACACAAGTTTCATTTTTAAAAATTTTTAATTTAATTTAATTTTTTTTTAAGATTTTATTTATCCATTTGACAGACAGAGATCACAGTAGGCAGAGAGGCAGGCAGAAAGAGAGGGGGAAGCAGGCTCCCCACTGAGCAGAGAGCCTGATGTGGGGCTCGATCCCAGGACCCTGAGACCATGACCCGAGCCGAAGGCAGAGGCTTTAACCCACTGAGCCACCCAGGCGCCCCCACAAGTTTTTTTTTAATAGACTTTGTTAACTAAAGATATTTTTTAAATTTTGATTTTATTTTTTAAAAATTCAGTTAGTTAACATATATTATTGGTTTCAGAGATAGAGGTCAGTGATTCATCAGTTTTATATAATATTTATTAACTAAAGATTAAAATTTGTCTTATTTTAAGTTTTACTGTCTGGTGAGACAAATCATAGATTTTTTTTTCTTTTATTTTCAACTATCATATATATGTATGTGTGTGTATATATATGCATATATATATGTATATACGTATATATATGCACCCCCACACAGAAAATTACGCATAGATACATAAAGGGGTTTTTTTTTTAGGACTTAAAAAAATTTTTAAGTAATCTCTACACCCGGTGTGGGGCTTGAACTCACAACCCTGAGATCAAGAGTGGCATGCTCCACCGACAGCCAGCCAGGTTCCCCAGATACACAGTTTAACAAGTAAATTATAAATCAAATTCCTGGAGATCTCAAGAGCTGCGGGAGCCATAGAAGGCTTTTGAGCAGGGTGACATGATCAGACCAGGCAGATTGGCCAAAGGCACTTGAAGAGGCTTCTGCGTCGTCCTGGTGAGGCAGGCTAGTGGCTTGGAGCACGCGCTGGTGGGAGAGGGGAAGCTGAGGGGACTCGTGTGTCATTCCAGGGGCCCCCAGGGCTGCTGGTGGACCTAGATCGCTGAAGGTGCCCATCAAGGAGGACAGCTGCAACAGGGCTGGTGGGCTGAGCAGGAGTGTGGCTCTGTCCCCCACACGTCGGATCCAGGGCAGCATCTGGGCAGGAAGGTGGACAGCCATGGTGTGAGGCCAGACTCGTCAGGGCAGGCGAGGCTGGGACAGGGGCCACTTTGGGAGGACCGCTGGACAGCCCTGGCTTCCCTCCCTGCTCCAGGCCTCCCTGGCACCGCTGGGCCTTGCTGTGTCTTTAAGAGCTCTGCGCTGACGTCAGAGATAGGGGAGGGCCAAGATTTGCTTTCCTTTCCTCGAAAGGGGAGGAGTTTGGAACTGAGTGGCCCGCGATGGAAATAGGGGAAGTCCAGGGCTGCTGGAAGCCCGGGAGTGAAGGCGGAGGCTAACATGGGGTGAGCTTGGGCGCCATACTCTGTGTGTGTGTGTGTGTGTGTGTGTGTGTGTGTGTGTGTGTGTCCCCGTGTCCCCATTCCTTGGGGGCAGCAGCGAGTCTGGGAGGTGCTTGAGTCCCGGGCGGGTGACCCGCAGTGATCAGTGGCTTTTGGTTTGTGAATGCGGTTGTGTACTTTGGAATCCTCAGTGTGAAAGGTCTGTCACTAGCCTGTCCCTGGGCTGTTTGGGGCCCTGCTGAGATGATGCTGCCCCTCTGGACTGTGAGGGGAAGCCCCTCCACCCAGGGGTGGGTGGGGTGGAGTGGGGTATCCCCCCCCCCGGGGGGCCCCCCCCCCCCCCCCCCCCCGTTTCCCCTGGGCCTGCCGTGAGGAGGCTCCACGCCCAACGTGGGTGGGGCTTGAACTCACGACCCAGATCGAGAGTGGTCTGCTCTACCAGCTGAGCCAGTCAGGTGCCCCTCCTTCCACGTTTAAATATTCCAGGTGCTGTCACCAAACATGTGCCTTTTCTTAGGGTTTGGTCCCTGGCAATAGAGGAGGAGAGCAAGGGACTCCATCTGCCCTTGAAAGTCAATGTTGGTGAACTTCCTGTCCAGGGCCTGCCCTTTTTTTTTTTTTTAAGATTTTTTTTTTTTTAACTATTTACTTATGAGAGAGAGTGAGAGCATGAGCAGGGAAAGGGGCAGAGGTAGAAGCAGGCTCCCCAGGCTGAGCAAGGAGCCTCATGCGGGGCTCCATCCCAAGGGCCCTGGGGCCATGACCCGAACCAAGGGTAGAGGCTTAACCCACTGAGCCACCCAAGCACCCCTGGGTCTGCCTTTTCTTAAAGCCCCTCTACTCTGCTATGGTCCTTGCTGAGGGGCTGGCATCAGGCAGGGAGGCCTCCTCTTCCAGAAGACAAGCTTAGCTCTAGCACCTCCATATCAGCCACCTGGCTCTGCTTATCCACTTGGCCTCCTGGTCAGAGCATGGGAGCCCAGGATATATGCGAACTCCTGGCACGGTGCTGGGCACCCAGTGGGCTCCCTGTCACTCCGGGGGGCCTGTAGCCCCTCTCTGGGGCCAGTGGCGGGGCTGTGTTCCCTGCGTGCCTCTCCTCACTGTTCTGGGCACACTGGCCTCTGCTGTCCTGGGATTTCTCCCCCGCCTCTGTCCCTTGTGCTTCCATTCTCCCCCAGCGTCTGCTCCCTGTACTGAAGTGTGGGCTCCCAGGGGCCGTGAGCTAGTCGGTGTCACCCCCAGGGACTGGCTTAAGCCACGTGCCCGAGGACCTGCTGCTGAGTGGTTGGGGTGAACAAGATGGGTGTGTGATCTGGAGACCCTCGAAGAGGCGGGACACAAGAGGGGTCGACACTGGGTGAGGTGCTTTATACAGACTCACGAAACAACCCCGTTTTACACTGAGGAAATGGTCGGAAGGAGGTTCAAGTTGCCCCACCTGGAAGTTGCCCTGTGTGGCCCAGAGTCTCCTCTGGCAAGAAGGGTGCCCCTGGGAATGGTGGGGTTGTGGAAGCTAGGGTGGGCTGGGTGAGAGAGGCCCTGGGTCATGGCCGGCTTTTTGGCAGGTTTGGGGCAACGGTAGCCATCGGCCTGACCATCTTCGTGCTCACTGTTGTCACCGTCATCATCTGCTTCACCTGTTCCTGCTGCTCTCTCTATAAGATGTGCCGCCGGCCCCCGCGTCGTAAGCACGCCCCCCCCCTCCCCAGCCCCCACCCCGGGACCCTGGGTGCACAGGTGCAGAGCCCAGGGGCAGGGGGGTGTTGCTGACCAGGGCCCTGGCTTGGCTAAGCTGGAGTGAGGGGGGCTTGGTCCTGACTGGGATTCTCTTTGCAGCGGTGGTCACCACCACCACGGCCACAACGGTGGTGCACACCCCTTACCCTCAGCCTCCGAGTGTGCCCCCCAGCTACCCAGGACCGACGTACCAGGGCTACCACCCCATGCCCCCACAGCCAGGGATGCCAGCAGCACCTTACCCGACACAGTACCCCCCGCCTTACCCTGCCCAGCCTATGGGCCCCCCAGCATACCACGAGACACTGGCTGGTGAGTACCACTGCCAACGCCAACCCTGCCTGGTCCCCCATATCTCCTGCCACTGTCCCCTCGTGCTGCAGTCCTCCAGGTGCACAACCAACCGGTATCCTCTTCTGTTTTCAGGAGGTGCGGCCATGCCCTACCCTGCCAGCCAGCCTCCTTACAACCCGGCCTACATGGACCCACCGAAGGCAGTTCCCTGAACATGTCCTTGCTTCTCTGGCTGCCCCTTGGGGCGTGTGTGTGTGTGTGTGTGAGAGAGAGAGAGAGAGAGAGAGAGAGGGAGAGAGAAAGAGAGAGAGAGAGAAGGTGGGTATGGAGGCATGGTCTTTTTCTCCCCACGCATGGTGTTTGTGTCCGGTTTGTACACGAGGCTTCTTGTGACGCCGACATGGTGGGGAGCAGTCCTTGCCAGAGTTGCTGGGACCCTACTTCATTCTCTTCCTCACTTGAAATTGTGCTCTTTTGAAATCTCAAAATTCAAAGACTGGGAGTTCCTTCCCATACTGTCCCAGGGAGACCAGGCCGGCGGGGCTTGCCATGCCAGGACAGTGAGGCTTTTTGTGGGCAACGTGCCCATGTGTTCTGGTTTTGGCGGAGTGACAAGCCATTGCTCAAGGCCATGGCCTGTCCCCAGGGTGTGGGGTACTCTTCGAGGAACCAGAGCCATCATGGCATGGGGGTGAGGCTTGGGGCCTGGCTAAGCAGACATCCTACAGTGCCAGAGCCTGTGCCATGCCCAGCAGAGGGTGGACAGCCTCCTGAGACCGAAACACTTGAGGCAGAGGCTCAGCCACCCGAGCGCGGTCTGCCTGGACTGTCCTCCATCCTCCCTGGGACCAGCTGGAGGGCCACGTCCACCCACGGCTCTGGCTGCCCTGGCTGCCCTGGCTGGCCACCCCCACCACAGGGCGGCAGGGCAGCCTCTGTCCACCTGCACACTCAGGTGTCCTCCCTGCAGTGTTTTTGTTTTCCTTTTAGCCAAACATTTTGCCTGTTTCCTGTTTCAAAATGTATGTGATCGTTTTTGTGAGGCTGGACCTCCTGGGTCCTGGAAGGAAATTGGCCCACAGTGGAGAGGGACCGTCAGGCCTCTGATAGGCCCTGCTTCTCCCGACACCAGCTTCACAGAATAGCCAGCTCCTGTACCCCAGTCCACAGTGTGTCCTGGCACCTAGGGCACCTGGGCCAAGGGGCCATCTGGACCAAAGGTGGAAGGGGGCCCTAGGTGGCTGCTCTGGCCCAGACATGAATACCTCGGTGTTCCCTGTCCCTCTGTTAATATCTCACCAGATCTGTCTTAGCTTTGTACCTGTTGATGTGTTTCTGAGAGTCTAGGGTCTGCAACTTTGTTTATAATAAATGCAAACATTTGAGGCTGCCGCCTTCTTTCTTCAGAGCCTGGGTGCTTGGACTGGGCATTAGGCCATGTCCCATCTTCATGCAACTCTTGGATTTCCATGTCTCTCCTGGGCTCAGATGTCTGACCATCTTGCTAGGGAGGGTGAAGGACGGACTTCTGCCACCCTCTGTGTCCCCCTCCCCAGGTCCCTGAGTGTGGGCAGAGGTACAGGTAACTCCTCTAAGGCTGCCAAGGAGGGTAGAGGTGAGTGGCTACTCGGTGCTGGAGGGGAGGGGGTCTTTATTGGTCAGACTTTTCCTCTTGGCCTACTGCCCAGGTGTGGCCAAGGAGAGCCCATACAGCATGGCTAGTGCCAAGGTGAGGAAGGCTAGCAGGCCTAGTGGGGCCAGCAGTCCCTCCTTGGGTGAGGCTCCAGGGCCCTCCACTGGAGGAACGGCCTTGGGCTTCCTGCCCCTGCCCAGGTTGGCACTAGTGTCTGTGGCTCTCGCCAGGGCTTTGGTGGCCGTGGTGGCAGATGGCCTTGGGTTGGTTCCAGCAGAGGCTGTGACCACGTACATGGGCTTGACGGTGCTGAACGGCCTGGCGTGTGCATCCACCCACTGGAGCAGGGCCCGCGGCCTCCACTGACAGATGCTGAGCAGGGCGAGGACGTCACTCTCGGCCATGTGGGAGTCCGGGGGGGCCTGGCCGTACAGGCGTGTGTAGACACTGCCCAGACTGTAGCTCTTCCGTGGACCATGCTCTGAGGGGCTGGCAGCACGCTCCAGGGCCTTCAGGGCAGCAATGCTATCCACACAGAGGGCACCATCCAGAACACTGGCAAGGCCTAGTACAGCCAGCTCTGCTTGGAGCAAGGGGAAGTCATAGTGGTCGCCGTTGTGTGCCACGAGGCACCAGGGCTGTGGCTGGCGCTGCAGGAAGGCTCGGAGTAGGCCGGCCAGGTCGGCGTCGAAGCATAGTCGCCCATGTGCTGCCAGTACGGCTGTGCTCAGGCCTGTGATCTTGCTAGCTCCTGGGCTGCAAGCCTTCCCTGGAGCCACGCACAGAGAGAGCTTGTCCAGCACCCGGGGTGGTGGGGGCACTGTGGGAGGCCCCCGAGTAGGGGGTGAGCTCTCCAGGGCATATCTGTGGACAGCCAGCAGGCATAGCTCCGTGACCTTGGGCTGGGAGGAAGGCAGGCCAGTGGCTTCCAGGTCCAAGAAAATGAGGGTCTGCACGGGTCCCGGGGCTGGGGCCTGTGAGCCCATGCTGGGTACCTGCCAGGAGCCTGGGGAGGAGCAGGGGTGGGGTGTCGGTGTGTGAGTGCCCCAGTGGGAAGAGCTGAGGCAGGTGGGGTGGGGCACCTCAGCACATCTCTGGCCTTCTCCGCAAAGATCTGCACCGTCACACTGTCAGTGAGCTCTAGGACCTGACCTGTTTCCAGGGCAGGAAGCCCGAGAGGGTAGCATAACTTCCTTAGTGGGAAGCCCACTCAACTGTCTTGGGGGAAGGCTTGGCTCCGCCCCTAGCACCTACCTAGTCTGGGCCTACGTTGGCTGTGAGGCTTTCCCACCCTGCCCCAACCCCATGGGGGTCCTCACTTACCTAGTGGCGGGCAGCAGCAATGACTCGGGGTCTGGCTGGTTCTTGCTGCCGGCAGTTAGTGGCGGGAAGTGAAACTTAGTGTGAGCCCGCCTATGGGCTGTCCTGAGTGGGGCCCGCCTTGCTTGTCAGCCGGCCAGGTCTGTCCCTCCCCAAGCACTACCCCCTTCATGGCTCCACAGAGGCCTCCGACCTACAGCTGTGGGCCTGCTGGCTGGCACAATGCATCAGGGCCCTGACGCCATGAAAGCCCGCCGGCAGAAGGGCTGTGGTGCCCAGCCCTTCGGGGAAGCCTAGCAGCAGGACTCTAGCCAGCCAGGGACCCCAGCTGCGGCCACCGTGCACCTCCCCTTGGCCCCACTTTTTCAGGTCTCCCTGGTGTAGGCCCCAGCTCCCAGCCGCCTCCTGCCTTGCTGCACAATGGTTTCTTCCCATGGCCTCAGCCCAAAGCGATGACTCAGGACAATTCCACAGGCTGGGCAGGGCCGGGCTCCTTCCTCAGGGCAGATTCGTTACCATGGGGACAGGTCTCAACTCCAGCCAGGCTTAGGAGGGACATCAGCCTTCCCTGGGTCTGGCTCCTGCTCCATCCCTCCCACTCAGCGACTCGGGTCAGACTCAGGAAACATCACAAGGCTGGGGAGTTCTCAAACAACCCTTCGCTGCTTTTAATCTGATGAAGAGGAGGGGAAAATAGTGGTTCTGGTGCCACCGTGTGGCTCAATGTTCAGCGGCATCAGCTGCAGTCCATCTCAGGGTCCTCCACATCGGTTTCAGCGGCACAGAGGTCATCCAGGGCTGCCTCTGAGCAGAGAGAACAGGGTTCTACGATGAAGGCCCAGAGGTGCTGGGCACAGGGGCGAGGGGGAAGACCCACCGCTCCTCCCCCACGCCCGTGGGAACTAACCAGTCCCTTCCACGCCCAGGCCTTGCTCCCTCAGCTACTGCAAGCAAAGTGATACAAAGGCAATTCAGACAGGGATGTTTCTGGAAAAACCATGGCTGCCAGGCCAACTCGACAGATACAAGCAAAGGCAGCCTGCTATGCTCAGAGAGGAGCCAGAGCAGTAAGGCAAGTAGGACCCCAGCGCCAGCAAAGGCTGGAAGGAAGACTGCTGACTTAAGGCCAGGAAGTCTAACCTGTCCTTGAACTTCAGGGAAATACCGCATGCGGGCTGGACAGAGAGGGGTCCTCTTGCTGGCTTACCTTCACAGTCTGCCACGTCAGGAAGCCCTCGAATCAGCATGCTGACCCCTGGCATCACCTGGTCATACTGATGCAGTACCTCCACACAGTGCACAGTGAAGAGCTTGTCCTTCTGGGACAGGCCGTGCAGCAGCAGCACCGTGTCCCGCAGGCACCGCACCGTCCGCTTCTGCTGGTCCGTCCTCGGTGGCCCCCCGGCCCTCCGCACTGTCAGCCACTGTCTGTGCAGCATCACCGTGAGTGCTCGGACTGCCTGCAGGGAGGGCAAAGACTGAGGCTGGGCCTCAGGGCTCTTGTACCCTACTAACCTGCTCAGCTGGACAGTACCCTCCCTAGCCACGCCAGGTGAGGAGGGTTCTGAGTGGGGGCATGAGGTTTAGAAGGGGCAGGGGGCCCCTGCATAGGGTCGCCTCACCCCCCGACTGAGCTGCCAGGCCGCTGGCCCCCGTGCACTCACCTCCACGTTGCACTGGCAGTTAGAGCCAGTGACTGGGGAGGAGGGGCTCTGCACACCAAGCTTAGCCAGGAGCCACACAGCCTAGAACAAGAACAGACTGTTCCATCTGTGGTAGAATGAGACCCTGATCACAGTGAGGGCTTTCTAAGGCTTCTCCTACGAGTGCTCCAGTTGCCTTAGCAACTGCCTGTCTGTACAATGGGGTCCAAGAAATGGTCCTGTGGGACCTTCCCAGGCTAGACTCAGGGACAACACCTGTGTCTCACCAGAGACCCACCTGCCTCCAGGCCCCAAAGCCAGGGTGGGCCAGTTCTCAGGCCACTCTGACAAGTTCCAAGACACCCTGGGGTCCACCTTTATTGCTTGTGTAGTGTGGAGCCCCGAGACTGAGTTCCCCTTGTTAGCATCTAGGTAAACTCTTGTTGCCAAAATGAATGAAAGCTCTGTTCCCCCCAGAAGAAGGAGGAACAGAGGCCCTGAGGTGGTGGGGCAGAGGGGTGGTGAGCAGGTCACAGAAGGGGCTCTGGAGTTTTTACCTCTTGTTCTAGCTGAAGCCACTGTGTGTCCGAGGCCACTTTGTCAGGCCTTGATGTGATGTACATGTACAGCAGCAGGAGGAGACAGCCTTCTGAAAAGGACGCCCCACCTCTCACTCAGGGTCCCCCTTCTTACCCAGAGCCCAGGGCACAAGCTGCAGAAGCCGTCAGGAGGCCTCCGACCTGTCCCTGCTCCCACCCCCCCCTGCCCGCCTGCAGTGGCAGCCCCCCCCCCCCCCCCCCCCCCCCGCCCTCGCCCCCTCCCTGCCCTGCTCTACCTGAGCGGGAACAGAGCTGGGGCGCCAGTTTCTCATGGTCCGCCAGGAGGGAGAGGAGCTCGACAGTCAGCAGCACACTGGGCAGGGGGCTCTCGGGGCTGAGGCACTGTGGCAGCACATGGAACACACACTGGAACCTACAGCACAGGGGCCCGGAGAGAGGGGACACTGATAACCTCATCCCACAACTCACCCTCATTCTTCACCAGAGGGAACGGGACATTTTGAGCAGGCGATGCGAAGAGGAGCTGTGGTTCAGACCCAGGTTCAAGTGCTGGCCAACCACCACCTGCTTACTAGGACACCGCTTCCTGTGAACCAGTGGGTACTAGCCTCTACTGCCATAATGCTGTGTCTTAGAGAGGACAGGCCCTAACCGGGCACAGTGCCACCTGTAGATGGGGGCTGCCTCCCTGTACCTGGGGTGCCTGGCTTCCACACTGCTCCTGGAGCTTTCCTACCTTAACTTGGGTGTGAAAGTTACAAGCCCACTACCCAAGGAGTGGCCAGGTTCTAGAAGTAACAAATGCAGACTTGGCTAGGGCTGGATTTTATATCACTTGCTGAGCAGACCATTTTTGAAAACACCAGATCCTTTGTCACCAGACAGGAGCAGGTGCCCCTTTGGAGCGTGCACAGGTGAGGGGCTCTGGGCATACTCTCCCCCAGGTCTCTCGGGCACAGGGAACTAGGAACTAAGTCCCAAGATAACCGTCATTTGCTCAACCCACACAATCTTGTGGGTGGCAAGAGGGGCACTTCTGTGTCCCCCTTCATGTATCATGCATCTGCAGTATCTCACCACACACCACTGAGGGTTAAGAATATTTCTCAGTATGCCAATCAGGAAGCAAGTTCCCACTATTTGGGGTGAAATCATTTCAGAGCAGATCCTGTTCGGTGGATAAGCTGCATGTTTTCAGGTACCAGGGAGCATGGAATTTGGTGGGAAACT